AAAATTTAAATTTTTTTTAAAAATATTTTTTAAATATATAGGGAGAAAGAAAAAAAAAAAAATTAATTTTAAATTAGGATATTACAGGGAAAGACAAAACAAGAGAACCTCTAGGAAAAACAAGTACAAAAAGATACAGAAGAAATAGTTATTCTATCAGCACAATTCTTCTCAGCATTTAAAGAAATCATAATCTAACGCGACCTAGCTAGATTACTACTAAAAGTTTTAAGACTCCATTCCTGGTCTATCCCCGGCAAAGGCAGCATAAAGACAGACAGACAGACCCTTTGTTTCTCTCCCTCCTCCCACCTTTTGAAAATATCTTGTCTCCTCATTGGTCATTTTGGTCAGGTGCCAGAGAGGTTACCTTTAGCTTCTTAACCTTTACAGGTGAGAGGAGTTTCTCTGGAGGAGGGATTTAAAGGGGTTTACCCTTCCCTTTATATTTATGACAGTGTTAGACAGGAATTCAAGGAGAATCCAATAGTCACTGGGAATCCCGTGTGCCAGGGGGCCACTTATGGGAGGCAGAACAGAAGCTTCCACGTTGGACCCTGGGGTCACAGATGCTGCGAAACACGGGATCTCTAGCAGAACAGCGTTCCCCACTGCTAGAATATATTACTGGGGGGCACTAAATATGGGGGGACAGCTCCCTCCTGACTCCCCCCCAAGCCGCTCTTTGCAGAAAAGCACCCCCTAGTGCACAGAGATTAGCAGTGACCGTAAGAGATGAGCATCCCATACTGAGCCTTTGCAGCACCTGGTTTCCTCTGCAGATCTCCTCTCCTGTTTACAAGTAGACAAACCCCCTCAGAGTCTGAGCTCCTCCCTACTGCTGTTAACCCCACTCATTGTGTGTTCCACAGGAGCAGACCTGCCCAGCCTGGGGGGCCGTGAATGAAGAGCTGAGCAATTACAATCCCTTATGGGGGGAACCCTCCATGCAGACCAGAGGATCCAGTTCCTGTTAGGGCCTGCCAATTCATTAACGAGGATCCTGCTAATGAACCAGCTGGGAATCCATGGATTGACCCTCCCTCTGCAATTCCTCCACCCCCAGTGCATTAAAGCATATTCAGTCTGGAGACCGAGCCCTGGTGTGTGAGGTTGATTAGCTCCTCCTGAGTAGGAGAGAGAGAGAGTGTTGGTGCGATGGGAGTTGTGTTGAGATAATGGGGAACAAAGATTACATCGGGGGTAAATGCTGCTCTGGTGTTTGAAGAGGCAAATGACAAAGTGCCGAGATCACACTCTGCACCCAGAGATATGGAACGCAGGAGTCCTGACTCCCAGCCTCTCCGCTCTAACCAACTAGACCCCAATGCCCTCCAAGGTCTGCGATAGAACCCAGGCGTCTTGACTTCCAGCTCACACTTCTCTAACCCTTAGATCCCCTCTCGTCCTCAGACAGGGGATAACACCCAGGAGTCCTAACTCCCAGCCCCCCTCTGCTCTAACCACTAGATCCCACTCTCCTCCCAGTCCTTGGGAGAGAACCCAGGAATCCTGACCCCATCCTCTCTGCTCTAACCCACTAGCCCCAATCCCCTCCTGGATGGTGCTCACTGGACTGTGAGGAAGAACTGTACACACCAAGGAGTCGAAGGAAATTGGTGGTTTATTGATGACATTTGTGGGCCACTATACAATACAAGCCACAGAGACAGATGTTTTCTCAGCCAGCTGGCAGGGTATGGGGAGTTGGCGAAGTGGGTATAGGGACAAGGAGAGTGCCCCAAATGCACACAGCACCCACTCCCCATGACCCCATTCCCTGCACAGATCTCCTCTGAGGGGCAGGGACTCTGTGGTCCAGTCATTCCTCAGCCTCCCTGCTCAGGAGCTGGTGGAGTTTGGGACAGGGGCCCTGGCCCACCTGGGGGTTGGGCTGAGCCTCCACAACTCAGTGCACACAGATGGGAATGACAAAATCTGGAACCAGAGCCCTCGAGAGAGAGTAAAGGCCCCATGTCCCTTTCCCCATCCCCTGAACCAGCTGGTTCCCCCTTCCCTGCCCCTCCCCACATCAGATCCAGCCTCCCCTGGAGGGGAAAGGCCCCTGTTCAACCACCTAATCATTGTCCCAGTAACCGGGGCTGGAGGCACAAACCCCTAGAGCACATGGGCTTGGCACAACTCTTGCAAAACGCCCATCCCCTGGAAGGGCAAGCCCGCCAGATCCTGACTTCCAGCATGCCCGATGGCTCAGTTCTCTCAGTTCAACTCAGACCTCAGTTGAAGAAGCATTGAACCATCATTTCTCCCATCGTTAACTGCTGTATCTATTATTATTTCTCCTGCTCTGACAGGGCGAGGGGCACTTTGCACGCGGGCTGGACTGGGCCGTGCTGGGTTTACAATCTGGATAGGCAAGGAAGGAAGTGGGGTTGGGCTTGGGGCTGGCTCAGACCTAAAATCTGGGGTCTGAAGCCAGCTATGGCTGTGAGGAGAGCGAAGGGGCGGGCTGACGAGGAGTAGGTTTAAGGGTTACAGGCTTAAGAGTTAGAGTCAGGTAGTCAGATTTGGGGAGCCAGGTTATAATTAGGGTGTTAGGGTTGGGCAATGGAGCTCAGGGGTTGCAGGTCCCGTTGGCTGTTACGGGTATGTATTAATACATGTGTGAGTGGCAGTGTAGACATTGACCCAGGGAGCCAGGACCGGGCTTCGTGGACAATAAACCTGGCTGAGCGCCTTCGCCACCGGACTGAGCCTGTGGTCTTCGTTTGCGAGTAACATCGAGCTCTGCTGAATGAACATGCTGCAGTATCTTCGAAGGACATTGCAGCTCCTGGGACAGAAGCACCGAGTGGCCTCAACAGGGTTACTAATGACGATCCCTCCTTCGGCACTTAACCATGCTGGGTAGGGCTATCGAGGCCTGCTGAACCGGCGATCTGCGCAGAGCTGCACAGGGCACGGAAAGAACACGCACACACAAGTCAACTGATTACCCAACGTGTGACTTGTTTGGATCAACAGAAGAACGAACAGGACGAGGATGCATTAATTAGCCCCATGGGAAAAATTCACCTAATCTCTATTCACTCCTGACACACAAGCCCCTGGCTATCCCCTCACTGCCCTGGGCTTCCCCTCTCCCCACAGCTCCAGCGACGCTCCTCAATCCCAATCTGATCCCCCTGCTATCACGGCTCTGGGCTCCATCCCTCTCCCCCAGCTCTGCCGATCACCATCAGTCTCCTCCTGCAGCCCCTGCCCCATCCAAGCCCTCACTTCTCCCCACTCCCCACAGGTCCTGAGCCACAGCCCCTTGATTTCCCAGCTGTGGGCTTCCCCCCTCCACAGCTCTGCCAGTTCTCCGCAATCCCACCCAGCAGAAACTCCCCTGCTCTCTTGCTGCCCCAGATATCTATGCTAAATCTCCTTAGCGATATTAGGCTTGGAAAGATTACAATACATCGGTACACGTCATAATACATCGATTTCACTGCGCACACACAATCTGATGGGAAAATATTTCCATTGATAATCAATGAAATGTACAGATACTCAAAATAAGGAAAATCCCGCTTGAAAATGTATTGAAGTTCAACTTACTTTATATCTTTTGAGAGGGGGTTGACAATTGATGTTTTACAGTGCATGAAACTTTAACTTATTGGCTCTCACCTGACCTGCCCCCAGAATTTCCCAAAAGCTGAAATTAATAAAAATTGAAAAAAAATCCTTTAAAACGAACTTTGATATTATCCATCAAAATTATAAAGAAATAAACGTTGACTTCTGCCACGCCAAAGTAATATGCAGTCAGCATTCTGCCATGACTCACCCAACTTGGGTCAACAGTGACCAACTTGTGACTAGTGGTGGCAACTAGAAGAAACAAAACCCCTATTGCCAAATGAGCTTAAGAAGCAGCCCAGGACCTTCGGGCAATTTCAGACCTACTCCCACCCTCCCAGGAGGAGCAAAGATGCCCAGAGCTGTCATTAATGATCCTGACTCAATCACATGATGTCAGAACCAGGATCTCGCCTGGAGCGGCTCTCCCAAGCTAAGAGGGCTGCAGCAAGGGCAGGATTTGAAAAGGAGACCTCGGAAAATCTGCAGATGCTACAGGGAGCTGGGCAGCGGTGCTGTCCCCAGACAGATTTCAGAGGGGTAGCTTTCAGATGTGTATCAGCAAAAACAACAAGGAGTCCTAGTGGCATCTTAGAGACTAACCAATGTATTTGGGCATAAGCTTTCGTGGGCTATAACCCACTTTATCAATGCATGGAGTGAAAATACAGTAGGCAGGTATAAATATACAGCACCTGAAAAGATAGGAGTTGCCTTAGCAAGCGCGGGGTCAGTACTAACGAGGCCAATTCAATCACGTTGACAAGAAGGCGTCTGGCATTTGGATGTGCCCTACCACAGGGACGCATTCACTCACTAGGGTCCTCTCCCCTCACAGTCTGTGCTGACCTCCATACCCCAGCGTGGCATTAGGGGGATCAATGCAGCAGGGAGGGGTGTGGGGACTCACTAGGGGGCGCCCTCCCCTTGGAGTCGGTGCAGACCCAAATGCCCCGGACTGGTGCTGGGCTACAGCAAGTGCTCACCTGCTCATTAGCCATAAGCCCCGCTTGTCACTGAACATCCCCAGGCACTATCCTTCCAGGGTGGGGAATGCGCCTGGGTCCCCTGGCTAAACACCCCCTTTACTTCTTCCATTTTGCCCCCTACCCAAAAATCAACACTGTGCTTTCTTTGGACACAGGATCCCCAGTTCATTTCCTGTTACCCAGCTGCCCCTCCGCAGAGGTGGCTGCAATTCAGGGATCACGGCCCTTCAGGCCCTAGACCTCTCACCCTGTGAACCCAACTGGATCTCTGTTCCCAAAGCCCTTGACTCCTCCCCTGCAGCTCCACCCAGTCGGCCCCAATCCTCCTTCCCCCGTGTGTGCACAGCCCAATGAGAACATGGATTTGAGGATAAATAAGTCCCCGTGGCTGCTCCCTGACTGTTAATCTTGCTATCTGAGGCATCCACCCAGCTCCCATTCCTGCTGAGACGCAAGACACGACTGTGAGTGTGCCAAGGAGAAGGGCAGGTGAGTCCGTGCTACCCGGGGCCCCACTGGCTCAAAGATAGGGACAGAGGGGTCCAGGGAGTGAATGAAGTGGAAGAACAGCGGGAATTGGGATCAGTCTAGGCAGTTACCCACCTAATACCCTTTCTACAGACCCCATTCTCAGAACTGGGGAGAGAACCCAAAGAGTCCTGCCTCCCAGCACCCCCTGCTCTCACTCACTGGTCCCCACTGCCTTCCCATAGCATAAGAACATAAGAATGGCCCTACTGGGTCAGACCAAAGGTCCATCTAGCCCAGGATCCTGTCTTCGCACAGTGGCCAATGCCAGGTACCCCACAGGGAATGAACAGAACAGGGAATCATCAAGTGATCCATCCCCTGTCGCCCATTCCCAGCTTCTGGCAAACAGAGGCTAGGGACACCATCCCTGACCATCCTGGCTAACAGCCATTGATGGACCAATCCTCCATGAATTTATCTAGTTCTTTTCTGAACCTTGTTACGGTCTTGCCCTTCACAACATCCTCCGGCAAGGAGTTCCACAGGGTGACTGTGCGCTGTGTGAAGAAATACTTCCTTTTATTCATTTTAAACCTGCTGCCTATTAATTTCATTGGGGGACCCCTAGTTCTTGTGATATGAGAAGCAGTACACAACACTTCCTTATCTACTTTCTCTACACCAGTCATGATTTTACAGACCTCAATCATATCTCCCCTTAGCCATCTTTTTTCCAAGCTGAAAAGTCCCAGTCTTATTCATCTCTCCTCATACGGAAGCCGTTCCATACCCCGAATCATTTTTCTTGCCCTTCTCTGAACCTTTTCCAATTCCAGTATCTCTTTTTTGAGATGGGGCAACCTCATATGCACACAGTGTTCAAGATGTGGGCATACCATGGATTTATATGAAGGCAACATGATATTTTCTGTCCTATTATCTATCCCTTTCTTAATTATTCCCAGCATTCTGTTTGCTTTTTGGACTGCCGCTGCACATGGAGTGGATGTTTTCAGAGACCTATCCACAATGACTCCAAGATCTCTTTCTTGAATGGGAACAGCTCATTTAGACCCCATCATTTTATATGTATAGTTGGGATTATGCTTTCCAATATGCGCCTCTTTGCATTTATCAACATTAAATTTCATCTGCCATTTTGTTGCCCAGTCACCCAATTTTGAGAGATCCTTTTGTAGCTCTTTGCAGTCTGCCTGGGTCTTAGCCATCTTTAGTAATTTTGTATCACCTGCAAATTTTGCCACCTCACTGTTTACCCCTTTTTCCAGATCAATTATGAATTTGTGGAATAGAACTGGTCCCAGAACAGGCCACTGGGGGACACCACTATTTACCTCTCTCCATTCTGAAAACTGACCATTTATTCCTATCCTTTCTCTCCTGTCTTTTAACCAGTTACTACTCCATGACAGCACGTTCGCTCTTATCCCGTGGCAGCTTTCTTTGCATAAGAGCCTTTGGTGAGGGACCTTGTCAAAGGCTTTCTGAAAATCTAAGTACACTATATCCGCTGGATCCCCTTGGGCCACATGCTTGTTGACCACCTCAAAGAATTCTAGTAGATTAGTGAGGCATGATTTCCCTTTACTAAAACCATGCTGACTCTTCCTCCACAAATTATGTTCATCTACATGTCTGACAATATTGCTCTTGATTATAATTTCAACCAGTTTGCCCGGTACCAGGACTCTTGACTCTGGTCCCACAGTGGTATAACCCACCATACCCCACTCCCTATCCAGAACCAGTGATAGAACCCAGGAGCTCTGGCTCCCAGAGCCCGACACTCTAGCCCACTAGACCCCACTCCCTTCCCAAAGCTGAGGATAAAACCCAGGAGTCCTCAATCCCAGCCTCCCTCCCATCTCTAACCACTAGATCCCACTCCCCTCCCAGAATGAGAGTCAGGATTGATGCAGAGCAGGGAACACAGCAGGGAGCCAGAGCATGGGTGGAACCGACAAGGGGGTTCTATTTGCTAAAGGGGATCCATGCTGACATAGGGAGCATCCTCCTGCTGTCTGGATTTAGGTGGCTGGGATTGGATGGGACCCAGCACCCCGTAGAGGGGAGAGACCATGTATCCAGTTCCCTATAACTCCCTCTGTGGGGGTTTCCCTTCCAGCTGCCGCGATGCTGGGACTCCTCCCCACTTTCCCCTGCCTGCTCCTCCTCTCCCTGCTGGGCTCCAGCTCTGGTTCCAATGACGATGGCACCGTGGTGCTCACCACCAGCGGCCCCATCCGGGGCAAGCGCCTCCAGGTCGGCTCCAGCACAGTGACAGCATTCCTGGGCATCCCCTACGCCGAGCCCCCCGTGGGGGCCTTGCGTTTCCAGAAGCCAATTCCCCACCAGCCCTGGAGCCACGTCCTGGAAGCCTCTAGCTTTGGCAATATGTGCCACCAGCCTCTGCTCACTGGTTACCCTCAGACTGAAACACAGACATTCAAAGTGCCACAGTCTGAGGACTGCCTCTTCCTCAATGTCTGGGTGCCCCATCCCCGTCCCTCTCCGCCAGCCGCCATCATCACCTGGATCCACGGTGGTGGGTTCTTCACAGGGGCAGCCTCACTCGACATCTATGATGGGCGCTTCTTAGCTGCCACTGAGAACCTGATCGTGGCTTCCATGAACTACCGGCTGGGGGCGCTGGGCTTCCTGTCCCTGCCCCCGGCCGCCCCGGGGAACGCCGGCCTATGGGACCAGCGACTGGCGATGCGCTGGCTGCGGGACAACGCGGCCGCCTTCGGCGGGGACCCGGCCCATTTCTTACTCTTCGGCCAGGATGCTGGGGCTCGATCAGTCGGCTTCCACCTCCTCTCCCCGGGGAGCCGGCCCCTCTTCACCAGGGCCGCACTGCAGAGCGGAGCCCCGAACGCACCATGGGCTTGGATTTCACTTGAAGAGGCCAAGGCCAGAGGCCAGAGGCTGGGCCAGCTGCTGGGCTGCTCCGATGGTAACAACACGGCCCTGGTGGGCTGCCTGCAGGGGAAGGAACCCGGGGAGTTCCCCAAACACCAGTTCTCCGTCTTGAACCACAAGAAGCAGCTGGGGCTCCCCTTTGTGCCGACACCAGATGGAGATTTCCTCCCTGATACACCACCAAGACTCCTGCAGGGCAGGCACGGCCAGCCAATACCCATCGGGCTTGGTTTCGTCACCAACGAAGGTTCCTACATATTATACTTTGCTGCCCCCAGCTTTAACCTGGAGAACGCCAGCGCCATCGGCTGGGAGGAGCTGCTGCAGGTGGTGAGGCTGATAGTGCCAGGGGTGCCAGACAAGGCCATCCAAGCCATGGCACGGTGGTACATCCAGGAAGGGGAGAAGCAGGGAGAGGCACAGTACCGATGGGCCATGGAACAAATCGCTGGTGACTATGTAGTTGTGTGCCCGGTACTGGAGATGGCAAGGCAACAGGCAGAGGCTGGAAATCCTGTGTACACCTACCACTTCGCCCACCGCAGCAGTGGCTTGTCTGTACCTGAATGGATGGGGGTGCCACACGGCTCTGAGATCCCCTACGTGTTCGGGACCCTGGCATCCGTGGTAGGATCCAACCACACAGAGGCTGAGGTAGCGCTGAGCCGCAGGGTGATGCAGTACCTTGCGGTGTACGCCTGGAGCGGGTAAGGCAATCCCCCACAATCCTCTTGTCCCCCTGATCCAGAAGACTGGGAGAAAGCTAATGCCATGCCAATTTATAAGAAGGTTAAATGGGATCACCTGGGTAATTATAGGGTCTTGATAAATTGGAAAAGGTCCAGAGAAGAGCCACGAGAATGTCTAAGGGATTAGAAACCTTGCCTTATAGCGATAGACTCAAGGATCTCAATCTATGTAGTTTAACTAGGAGAAGGTTAAGGGGCCTGTCATAAATATAAAGGGAAGGGTAACAACCTTCCTGTATGCAGTACTATAAAATCCCTCCTGGCCAGAGGCACAGAATCCTTTTCCCTGCAAAGGGTTAAGAAGCTCAGGTAACCTGGCTGGAAGCAAGCAATCCAACTCCATTAGAATCAGTAAGTACAAGCAAGGGAATGCATTAGCTTTTTTTTGTTTTGGCTTGTGATTTTCTCTGTTCTGAGGAGGAAAGTGTATTCCTGGTTTTCTTTTTGTAACCTAAAAGTTTGGCCCAGAAGGAAATCCTCTGTGTTTTTGAATCTTTTGTTACGCTGTAAAATTATTTTCCATCCTGATTTTACAGAGGTGATTTTTACCTTCTTTTTTTTTAAATAAAATCCTTCTTTTAAGAACCTGACTGATTTCTCTATTGTCCTAAGACCCAGGGCTTTAGGTCTGTGATCACTTTTTGTAACCAATTGGTTAGGATATTATTCTCAAGCCTCCCCAGGAAAGGGGGTGTAAGGCTTGGGGGGATATTTTGGGGGAATAGGAACTCCAAGTGGTCCTTTCCCTAATTCTTTGTTAAATAACTTGGTGGTGGCAGCTTACCCTGATAGGGCAGCATCCTCGTTGAAAGGACAAGTGAGAGACGCCATTTTAAGTAAGAGCAAAACTAGACACTCCCTTCCAGTTCAGATCCTCCTATCTATGCCCCCACATTCCCTAGCCATGCCCCCCCCCGCACCCCGTATGTTGCTCTGCTCCCCACACTACTCTGACCTGTCTGTGAGCACAAAGGATTCCATCTTTGCAGAGGGAAGCCTGGCTTCAGACCCATTGCAAACAATGGAAAACAGTGGCCATCTTCCCTAGAGGAAGTCTCATTTTACAATGGCAGCCATTATTACTCAGGGCCGCCTGTGGCTTCCATTTCATGGAGAACAACGAAATAAAGTGGCCAAGTTTATAAAGGGCAACCTGTAGCATCACCCCATATGAAAAGACTGGGAGGCAGCACCCATCTTAACTGAGGGCAGCCTCTGGCTCCACTCTCATTTGCAGCAACATGGGATAGCAGCCATTTTGGAAAGAGGCCAAACTTTTCAAATTGGCTCCTAATCACCCCTGCATCTGGGATGTTAGACACCAGCTGGGGCACGTTCCTGTCCCCACCAAGCCACAATACTAACCTCAGTGGGGCATGTTCATTTTCCATGCAGGAAACCCATGGTGGGAGAGGATAGCGGGAAGCAGTGGCCCACCTATGACCACGCAAAGCAGAACTTTGAGCGCATCAGCCTGAAGCCGCCCAAACCTGAGAGGGCATTACCCGCCTCACGCTGTGAATTCTTGGCATCAGTGCTGTCAGAGAAACCAAAGGTCCCAGGTGAGCATCAGCAGGATGAGAGGATGGCAGCTCTAGAGGGGAAAGGCCCCGTCTCTCCCCACCCCTCTCAGCCATCAAGGCCCCCAACCCTTGGGCTGGATTGGAGATGGCTCCCCTCCAGCAGCAAAAGATCCCAGCTCACATTCCCTTTTCCATGGGATCTTCTGGTCTCCTAGAGATGCTCCATTCTCCTGTCTGGGGGAGAACTTGCATATCCTGGGAACTCCAGATCCCATCTGCTGTGGGGCAGCCCCAGGTTCTACCCCATCTTCTCTTCCTCAGCCCCTCTGGGTAGGAAGATGACAACCTTGTTTCCTCTCCATCGGCTCCCCACGTAGCCCCCATTTCAGGGGAGGAGGCATGAGCTCAGACAGAGGGATTCCCGGTAGGGTGGCTGGGGATGAAGCGATGGATCTGAGGACACTGCGGGCTGAGGGTAAGTGGCCTGTAATGACACAGAAGAGAACGGTGGCAAAGAAAGAATGACATAGAGCTGGCTCTCGGGAGGGATGCAGCCACTGTGTAACTGTGTAAGACAGGGATTCAAGGAGAATCCAATAGTCACTGGGAATCCCGTGTGCCAGGGGGCCGCTTATGGGAGGCAGAACAGAAGCTTCCACGTTGGACCCTGGGGTCACAGATGCTGCGAAACACGGGATCTCTAGCAGAACAGCGTTCCCCACTGCTAGAATATATTACTGGGGGGCACTAAATGTGGGGGGACAGCTCCCTCCTGACTCCCCCCCAAGCCGCTCTTTGCAGAAAAGCACCCCCTAGTGCACAGAGATTAGCAGTGACTGTAAGAGAAGAGCATCCCATACTGAGCCTTTGCAGCACCTGGTTTCCTCTGCAGATCTCCTCTCCTGTTTACAAGTAGACAAACCCCCGCAGAGTCTGAGCTCCTCCCCACTGCTGTTAACCCCACTCATTGTGTGTTCCACAGGAGCAGACCTGCCCAGCCTGGGGGGCCGTGAATGAAGAGCTGAGCAATTACAATCCCCTTATGGGGGGAACCCTCCATGCAGACCAGAGGATCCAGTTCCTGTTAGTGCCTGCCAGTTCATTAACGAGGATCCTGCTAATGAACCAGCTGGGAATCCATGGATTGACCCTCCCTCTGCAATTCCTCCACCCCCAGTGCATTAAAGCATATTCAGTCTGGAGACCGAGCCCTGGTGTGTGAGGTTGATTAGCTCCTCCTGAGTAGGAGAGAGAGAGAGTGTTGGTGCGATGGGAGTTGTGTTGAGATAATGGGGAACAAAGATTACATCGGGGGTAAATGCTGCTCTGGTGTTTGAAGAGGCAAATGACAAAGTGCAGAGATCACACTCTGCACCCAGAGATATGGAACGCAGGAGTCCTGACTCCCAGCCTCTCCGCTCTAACCAACTAGACCCCAATGCCCTCCAAGGTCTGCGATAGAACCCAGGCGTCTTGACTTCCAGCTCACACTTCTCTAACCCTTAGATCCCCTCTCGTCCTCAGACAGGGGATAACACCCAGGAGTCCTAACTCCCAGCCCCCCTCTGCTCTAACCACTAGATCCCACTCTCCTCCCAGTCCTTGGGAGAGAACCCAGGAATCCTGACCCCCGGCCTCTCTGCTCTAACCCACTAGCCCCAATCCCCTCCTGGATGGTGCTCACTGGACTGTGAGGAAGAACTGTACACACCAAGGAGTCGAAGGAAATTGGTGGTTTATTGATGACATTTGTGGGCCACTATACAATACAAGCCACAGAGACAGATGTTTTCTCAGCCAGCTGGCAGGGTATGGGGAGTTGGCGAAGTGGGTATAGGGACAAGGAGAGTGCCCCAAATGCACACAGCACCCACTCCCCATGACCCCATTCCCTGCACAGATCTCCTCTGAGGGGCAGGGACTCTGTGGTCCAGTCATTCCTCAGCCTCCCTGCTCAGGAGCTGGTGGAGTTTGGGACAGGGGCCCTGGCCCACCTGGGGGTTGGGCTGAGCCTCCACAACTCAGTGCACACAGATGGGAATGACAAAATCTGGAACCAGAGCCCTCGAGAGAGAGTAAAGGCCCCATGTCCCTTTCCCCATCCCCTGAACCAGCTGGTTCCCCCTTCCCTGCCCCTCCCCACATCAGATCCAGCCTCCCCTGGAGGGGAAAGGCCCCTGTTCAACCACCTAATCATTGTCCCAGTAACCGGGGCTGGAGGCACAAACCCCTAGAGCACATGGGCTTGGCACAACTCTTGCAAAACGCCCATCCCCTGGAAGGGCAAGCCCGCCAGATCCTGACTTCCAGCATGCCCGATGGCTCAGTTCTCTCAGTTCAACTCAGACCTCAGTTGAAGAAGCATTGAACCATCATTTCTCCCATCGTTAACTGCTGTATCTATTATTATTTCTCCTGCTCTGACAGGGCGAGGGGCACTTTGCACGCGGGCTGGACTGGGCCGTGCTGGGTTTACAATCTGGATAGGCCAGGAAGGAAGTGGGGTTGGGCTTGGGGCTGGCTCAGACCTAAAATCTGGGGTCTGAAGCCAGCTAGGGCTGTGAGGAGAGCTAAGGGGCGGGATGACGAGGAGTAGGTTTAAGGGTTACAGGCTTAAGAGTTAGAGTCAGGTAGTCAGATTTGGGGAGCCAGGTTATAATTAGGGTGTTAGGGTTGGGCAATGGAGCTCAGGGGTTGCAGGTCCCGTTGGCTGTTACGGGTATGTATTAATACATGTGTGAGTGGCAGTGTAGACATTGACCCAGGGAGCCAGGACCGGGCTTCGTGGACAATAAACCTGGCTGAGCGCCTTCGCCACCGGACTGAGCCTGTGGTCTTCGTTTGCGAGTAACATCGAGCTCTGCTGAATGAACATGCTGCAGTATCTTCGAAGGACATTGCAGCTCCTGGGACAGAAGCACCGAGTGGCCTCAACAGGGTTACTAATGACGATCCCTCCTACGGCACTTAACCATGCTGGGTAGGGCTATCGAGGCCTGCTGAACCGGCGATCTGCGCAGAGCTGCACAGGGCACGGAAAGAACACGCACACACAAGTCAACTGATTACCCAACGTGTGACTTGTTTGGATCAACAGAAGAACGAACAGGATGAGGATGCATTAATTAGCCCCAGGGGAAAAATTCACCTAATCTCTATTCACTCCTGACACACAAGCCCCTGGCTATCCCCTCACTGCCCTGGGCTTCCCCTCTCCCCACAGCTCCACCGACGCTCCTCAATCCCAATCTGATCCCCCTGCTATCACGGCTCTGGGCTCCATCCCTCTCCCCCAGCTCTGCCGATCACCATCAGTCTCCTCCTGCAGCCCCTGCCCCATCCAAGCCCTCACTTCTCCCCACTCCCCACAGGTCCTGAGCCACAGCCTCTTGATTTCCCAGCTGTGGGCTTCCCCCCTCCACAGCTCTGCCAGTTCTCCGCAATCCCACCCAGCAGAAACTCCCCTGCTCTCTTGCTGCCCCAGATATCTATGCTAAATCTCCTTAGCGATATTAGGCTTGGAAAGATTACAATACATCGGTACACGTCATAATACATCGATTTCACTGCGCACACACAATCTGATGGAAAAATATTTCCATTGATAATCAATGAAATGTACAAAAAGAAAAGGAGTACTTGTGGCACCTTAGAGACTAACCAATTTATTTAAAATTTCATGCAGTTGATAGATTTCCACTCCATACGGCTAAATGCAGTGCCTTGCATAATGACAGGTTTCAGAGGAACAGCCGTGTTAGTCTGTATTCGCAAAAAGAAAAGGAGTACTTGTGGCACCTTAGAGACTAACCAATTAGGTGCCACAAGTACTCCTTTTCTTTTTGCGAATACAGACTAACACGGCTGTTCCTCTGAAATGAAATGTACAGATACTCAAAATAAGGAAAATCCCGCTTGAAAATGTATTGAAGTTCAACTTACTTTATATCTTTTGAGAGGGGGGGTTGACAATTGATGTTTTACAGTGCATGAAACTTTAACTTATTGGCTCTCACCTGCCATTAAATAATTGTCTGACCTGCCCCCAGAATTTCCCAAAAGCTGAAATTAATAAAAATTGAAAAAAAATCCTTTAAAACGAACTTTGATATTATCCATCAAAATTATAAAGAAATAAACGTTGACTTCTGCCACGCCAAAGTAATATGCAGTCAGCATTCTGCCATGACTCACCCAACTTGGGTCAACAGTGACCAACTTGTGACTAGTGGTGGCAACTAGAAGAAACAAAACCCCTATTGCCAAATGAGCTTAAGAAGCAGCCCAGGACCTTCGGGCAATTTCAGACCTACTCCCACCCTCCCAGGAGGAACAAAGATGCCCAGAGCTGTCATTAATGATCCTGACTCAATCACATGATGTCAGAACCAGGATCTCGCCTGGAGCGGCTCTCCCAAGCTAAGAGGGCTGCAGCAAGGGCAGGATTTGAAAAGGAGACCTCGGAAAATCTGCAGATGCTACAGGGAGCTGGGCAGCGGTGCTGTCCCCAGACAGATTTCAGAGGGGTAGCTTTCAGATGTGTATCAGCAAAAACAACAAGGAGTCCTTGTGGCATCTTAGAGACTAACCAATGTATTTGGGCATAAGCTTTCGTGGGCTATAACCCACTTTATCAATGCATGGAGTGAAAATACAGTAGGCAGGTATAAATATACAGCACCTGAAAAGATAGGAGTTGCCTTAGCAAGCGCGGGGTCAGTACTAACGAGGCCAATTCAATCACGTTGACAAGAAGGCGTCTGGCATTTGGATGTGTCCTACCACAGGGACGCATTCACTCACTAGGGTCCTCTCCCCTCACAGTCTGTGCTGACCTCCATACCCCAGCGTGGCATTAGGGGGATCAATGCAGCAGGGAGGGGTGTGGGGACTCACTAGGGGGCGCCCTCCCCTTGGAGTCGGTGCAGACCCAAATGCCCCGGACTGGTGCTGGGCTACAGCAAGTGCTCACCTGCTCATTAGCCATAAGCCCCGCTTGTCACTGAACATCCCCAGGCACTATCCTTCCAGGGTGGGGAATGCGCCTGGGTCCCCTGGCTAAACACCCCCTTTACTTCTTCCATTTTGCCCCCTACCCAAAAATCAACACTGTGCTTTCTTTGGACACAGGATCCCCAGTTCATTTCCTGTTACCCAGCTGCCCCTCCGCAGAGGTGGCTGCAATTCAGGGATCACGGCCCTTCAGGCCCTAGACCTCTCACCCTGTGAACCCAACTGGATCTCTGTTCCCAAAGCCCTTGACTCCTCCCCTGCAGCTCCACCCAGTCGGCCCCAATCCTCCTTCCCCCGTGTGTGCACAGCCCAATGAGAACATGGATTTGAGGATAAATAAGTCCCCGTGGCTGCTCCCTGACTGTTAATCTTGCTATCTGAGGCATCCACCCAGCTCCCATTCCTGCTGAGACGCAAGACACGACTGTGAGTGTGCCAAGGAGAAGGGCAGGTGAGTCCGTGCTACCCGGGGCCCCACTGGCTCAAAGATAGGGACAGAGGGGTCCAGGGAGTGAATGAAGTGGAAGAACAGCAGGAATTGGGATCAGTCTAGGCAGTTACCCACCTAATACCCTTTCTTCAGACCCCATTCTCAGAACTGGGGAGAGAACCCAAAGAGTCCTGCCTCCCAGCACCCCCTGCTCTCACTCACTGGTTCCCAATGCCTTCCCAGAGCATAAGAACATAAGAATGGCCCTACTGGGTCAGACCAAAGGTCCATCTAGCCCAGGATCCTGTCTTCGCACAGTGGCCAATGCCAGGTACCCCACAGGGAATGAACAGAACAGGGAATCATCAAGTGATCCATCCCCTGTCGCCCATTCCCAGCTTCTGGCAAACAGAGGCTAGGGACACCATCCCTGACCATCCTGGCTAACAGCCATTGATGGACCAATCCTCCATGAATTTATCTAGTTCTTTTCTGAACCTTGTTACGGTCTTGCCCTTCACAACATCCTCCGGCAAGGAGTTCCACAGGGTGACTGTGCGCTGTGTGAAGAAATACTTCCTTTTATTCATTTTAAACCTGCTGCCTATTAATTTCATTGGGGGACCCCTAGTTCTTGTGATATGAGAAGCAGTACACAACACTTCCTTATCTACTTTCTCTACACCAGTCATGATTTTACAGACCTCAATCATATCTCCCCTTAGCCATCTTTTTTCCAAGCTGAAAAGTCCCAGTCTTATTCATCTCTCCTCATACGGAAGCCGTTCCATACCCCGAATCATTTTTCTTGCCCTTCTCTGAACCTTTTCCAATTCCAGTATCTCTTTTTTGAGATGGGGCAACCTCATATGCACACAGTGTCCAAGATGTGGGCGTACCATGGATTTATATGAAGGCAACATGATATTTTCTGTCCTATTATCTATCCCTTTCTTCATTATTCCCAGCATTCTGTTTGCTTTTTGGACTGCCGCTGCACATGGAGTGGATGTTTTCAGAGACCTATCCACAATGACTCCAAGATCTCTTTCTTGAATGGGAACAGCTCATTTAGACCCCATCATTTTATATGTATAGTTGGGATTATGCTTTCCAATATGCACCTCTTTGCATTTATCAACATTAAATTTCATCTGCCATTTTGTTGCCCAGTCACCCAATTTTGAGAGATCCTTTTGTAGCTCTTTGCAGTCTGCCTGGGTCTTAGCCATCTTTAGTAATTTTGTATCACCTGCAAATTTTGCCACCTCACTGTTTACCCCTTTTTCCAGATCATTTATGAATTTGTGGAATAGAACTGGTCCCAGAACAGGCCACTGGGGGACACCACTATTTACCTCTCTCCATTCTGAAAACTGACCATTTATTCCTATCCTTTCTCTCCTGTCTTTTAACCAGTTAGTAATCCATGACAGCACGTTCACTCTTATCCCATGGCAGCTTTCTTTGCATAAGAGCCTTTGGTGAGGGACCTTGTCAAAGGCTTTCTGAAAATCTAAGTACACTATATCCGCTGGATCCCCTTGGGCCACATGCTTGTTGACCACCTCAAAGAATTCTAGTAGATTAGTGAGGCATGATTTCCCTTTACTAAAACCATGCTGACTCTTCCTCCACAAATTATGTTCATCTACATGTCTGACAATATTGCTCTTGATTATAATTTCAACCAGTTTGCCCGGTACCAGGACTCTTGACTCTGGTCCCACAGTGGTATAACCCACCATACCCCACTCCCTATCCAGAACCAGTGATAGAACCCAGGAGCTCCGGAACCTGGCTCCCAGAGCCCGACACTCTAGCCCACTAGACCCCACTCCCTTCCCAAAGCTGAGGATAAAACCCAGGAGTCCTCAATCCCAGCCTCCCTCCCATCTCTAACCACTAGATCCCACTCCCCTCCCAGAATGAGAGTCAGGATTGATGCAGAGCAGGGAACACAGCAGGGAGCCAGAGCATGGGTGGAACAGACAAGGGGGTTCTATTTGCTAAAGGGGATCCATGCTGACATAGGGAGCATCCTCCTGCTGTCTGGATTTAGGTGGCTGGGATTGGATGGGACCCAGCACCCCGTAGAGGGGAGAGACCATGTATCCAGTTCCCTATAACTCCCTCTGCGGGGGTTTCCCTTCCAGCTGCCGCGATGCTGGGACTCCTCCCCACTTTCCCCTGCCTGCTCCTCCTCTCCCTGCTGGGCTCCAGCTCTGGTTCCGATGACGATGGCACCGTGGTGCTCACCACCAGCGGCCCCATCCGGGGCAAGCGCCTCCAGGTCGGCTCCAGCACAGTGACAGCATTCCTGGGCATCCCCTACGCCGAGCCCCCCGTGGGGGCCTTGCGTTTCCAGAAGCCAATTCCCCACCAGCCCTGGAGCCACGTCCTGGAAGCCTCTAGCTTTGGCAATATGTGCCACCAGCCTCTGCTCACTGGTTACCCTCAGACTGAAACACAGACATTCAAAGTGCCACAGTCTGAGGACTGCCTCTTCCTCAATGTCTGGGTGCCCCATCCCCGTCCCTCTCCGCCAGCCGCCATCATCACCTGGATCCACGGTGGTGGGTTCTTCACAGGGGCAGCCTCACTCGACATCTATGATGGGCGCTTCTTAGCTGCCACTGAGAACCTGATCGTGGCTTCCATGAACTACCGGCTGGGGGCGCTGGGCTTCCTGTCCCTGCCCCCGGCCGCCCCGGGGAACGCCGGCCTATGGGACCAGCGACTGGCGATGCGCTGGCTGCGGGACAACGCGGCCGCCTTCGGCGGGGACCCGGCCCATTTCTTACTCTTCGGCCAGGATGCTGGGGCTCGATCAGTCGGCTTCCACCTCCTCTCCCCGGGGAGCCGGCCCCTCTTCACCAGGGCCGCACTGCAGAGCGGAGCCCCGAACGCACCATGGGCTTGGATTTCACTTGAAGAGGCCAAGGCCAGAGGCTGGGCCAGCTGCTGGGCTGCTCCGATGGTAACAACACGGCCCTGGTGGGCTGCCTGCAGGGGAAGGAACCCAGGGAGTTCCCCAAACACCAGTTCTCCGTCTTGAACCACAAGAAGCAGCTGGGGCTCCCCTTTGTGCCGACACCAGATGGAGATTTCCTCCCTGATACACCACCAAAACTCCTGCAGGGCAGGCACGGCCAGCCAATACCCATCGGGCTTGGTTTCGTCACCAACGAAGGTTCCTACATATTATACTTTGCTGCCCCCAGCTTTAACCTGGAGAACGCCAGCGCCATCGGCTGGGAGGAGCTGCTGCAGGTGGTGAGGCTGATAGTGCCAGGGGTGCCAGACAAGGCCATCCAAGCCATGGCACGGTGGTACATCCAGGAAGGGGAGAAGCAGGGAGAGGCACAGTACCGATGGGCCATGGAACAAATCGCTGGTGACTATGTAGTTGTGTGCCCGGTACTGGAGATGGCAAGGCAACAGGCAGAGGCTGGAAATCCTGTGTACACCTACCACTTCGCCCACCGCAGCAGTGGCTTGTCTGTACCTGAATGGATGGGGGTGCCACACGGCTCTGAGATCCCCTACGTGTTCGGGACCCTGGCATCCGTGGTAGGATCCAACCACACAGAGGCTGAGGTAGCGCTGAGCCGCAGGGTGATGCAGTACCTTGCGGTGTACGCCTGGAGCGGGTAAGGCAATCCCCCACAATCCTCTTGTCCCCCTGATCCAGAAGACTGGGAGAAAGCTAATGCCATGCCAATTTATAAGAAGGTTAAATGGGATCACCTGGGTAATTATAGGGTCTTGATAAATTGGAAAAGGTCCAGAGAAGAGCCACGAAAATGTCTAAGGGATTAGAAACCTTGCCTTATAGCGATAGACTCAAGGATCTCAATCTATGTAGTTTAACTAGGAGAAGGTTAAGGGGCCTGTCATAAATATAAAGGGAAGGGTAACAACCTTCCTGTATGCAGTACTATAAAATCCCTCCTGGCCAGAGGCACAGAATCCTTTTCCCTGCAAAGGGTTAAGAAGCTCAGGTAACCTGGCTGGAAGCAAGCAATCCAACTCCATTAGAATCAGTAAGTACAAGCAAGGGAATGCATTAGCTTATTTTTGTTTTGGCTTGTGATTTTCTCTGTTCTGAGAGGAAAGTGTATTCCTGGTTTTCTTTTTGTAACCTAAAAGTTTGGCCCAGAAGGAAATCCTCTGTGTTTTTGAATCTTTTGTTACGCTGTAAAATTATTTTCCATCCTGATTTTACAGAGGTGATTTTTACCTTCTTTTTTTTTAAATAAAATCCTTCTTTTAAGAACCTGACTGATTTCTTTGCATAAGAGCCTTTGGTGAGGGACCTTGTCAAAGGCTTTCTGAAAATCTAAGTACACTATATCCGCTGGATCCCCTTGGGCCACATGCTTGTTGACCACCTCAAAGAATTCTAGTAGATTAGTGAGGCATGATTTCCCTTTACTAAAACCATGCTGACTCTTCCTCCACAAATTATGTTCATCTACATGTCTGACAATATTGCTCTTGATTATAATTTCAACCAGTTTGCCCGGTACCAGGACTCTTGACTCCGGTCCCACAGTGGTATAACCCACCATACCCCACTCCCTATCCAGAACCAGTGATAGAACCCAGGAGCTCTGGCTCCTGACCCACAGTGGTATAACCCACCATACCCATTCCTTTCCCAGACCTGGGGATAGAACCCAGGAGCCCTGGCTCCCAGAGCCCGACGCTCTAGCCCACTAGACCCCACTGCCTTCCCAAAGCTGAGGATAGAATTCAGGAGTCCTCAATCCCAGCCTCCCTCCCAACTTGAACCAGTCCTCTCCCAGAATGGGAATCAGGATTGATGCAGAGCAGGGAATACAGCAGGGAGCCAGAGCATGGGTGGAAAGGACCAGGGGGTTCTATTTGCTAAAGCGGATCCATGCTGATGTAGGGAGCATCCTCCTGCTATCTGGATTTAGGTGGCTGGGACTGGAGGGGACCCAGCACCCGGTAGAGGGGAGAGGCCACGTATCTCGTTCCCTATAACTCCCTCTGGGAGGGGGTTTCCCTTCTAGCTGCCGCGATGCTGGGACTCCTCCTCGCTTTCCCCTACCTGCTGCTCCTCTCGCTCTTGGGCCCCAGCTCTGGCTCCGATGACGATGGCACCGTGGTGCTCACCACCAGTGGCCCCATCCGGGGCAAGCTCCTCCAGGTCGGCTCCAGCACAGTGACGGCCTTCCTGGGCATCCCCTACGCTGAGCCCCCCGTGGGAGCCTTGCGCTTTCAGAAGCCAATACCCCACCAGCCCTGGGGCCAGATCCTGGAGGCCACCAGCTTCAGCAATGACTGCCTGCAGTCTCCACTTACTGGTTACCCTGAGGCAGAAACATGGACACCCAAAATGCCACAGTCCGAGGACTGCCTCTTCCTAAACATCTGGGTGCCCCATCCCCGGCCCAATGATATGTTCCCCATGATTGTCTGGATCCATGGCGGGGGGTTCTTCTCAGGTGCAGCCTCCCTCGACGTCCATGATGGGCGCTTGTTAGCCGCCACCGGAAACATGATCGTGGCCTCCATGAACTACCAGCTGGGGGGCACTGGGCTTCCTGTCCCTGCCCCCGGCCGTCCCGGGGAACACCGGCCTGTGGGACCAGCGACTGGCGATGTGCTGGCTGTGTAAGAACGCAGCTGCCTTCAGTGGAGACCCAGCCAGCTTCCTCCTTTTCGGCCTGGGCACTGGGGCTGCATCACTTAGCTTCCACCACCTCTCCCCAGGAAGCCGGCCCCTCTTCACCCACGCAGCGCTGCAGAGCAGAGCCCCAAACGCACCATGGGCTTGGATTTCACTCAAAGAGGCCCAAGAGAGAGGCCAGAGGCTGGGCCATCTGCTGGGCTGCGCTGAGACACGGCCCTGGTGGGCTGCCTGCAGGGGAAGGAAGCAAGGGAGTTCCCCAAACACCAGTTCTCTGTGTTGCTCCACAAGGACCTGCTGGCGTTCCCCTTTGTGCCGACACCAGACTGGGATTTCCTCCCTGATACACCACCAAGACTCCTGCAGGCCAGACACAACCAGCCTATGCCCATCGTGGCCGGTTTCACCGCCAATGAAGGCTCCTACATGCTTATCTATGGTGCTCCCAACCTCAACCTGGAGAACGCCAGCAATGTTGGCTGGGAGGAGCTGCTGCAGGTGGTGAGGCTGATGGTGCCAGAAGCCCCAGAATTGGCCATCCGAGCCGTGGCAGAGCGGTACTGCAAGGAAGGGGAGGGGCAGGGCGAGGCACGAGACCGATGGGCCATGGATCAAATTGCTGGCGACTACCCTTTTGTGTGCCCGGTAGCCGAGGTGGCTAGGCGAGAGGCAGAGGCCCGAAGTCCTGTGTACGCCTACTACTTCACCCACCGCACGAGCGGCTTATCTACACCTGAGTGGACAGGGGTGCCATACGGCTCTGGGCTGCCCTACCTGTTCGGGACCCTGGCGTCCGTGGGAGAAGCCAACCACACACACACGGAGGCCGAGGCAACGATGAGCCAAACGATGATGCAGTACTGCGGGAAGTTTGCCGGGAGCAAGTAAGGGAATCTTCTTGTGCCCCTGAGGCAGCCCGGGAAAACAGCTAGCCTGTAACTCTTTGGCCAAGTGTCCGCAACATACAGGAAGACCCGACTCAGAGCCATGGCAAAGAAGGGGTCCCTTTGAAACATAGCTAATCTGTTTGGTTGAAGCCCTTGATCGAGAGCTGAACTTACTTCAGGGAGGTAAAATCTGACCCCCTGATTCCAGGGTAGGGCTAATTCCCTTCTTCCCTCACCAGGATGTCCGTGATCCCATGAACACAACCATCCTCGTTCAAGGAAACAAGGTTTTTGGCTAGGAGCTAGTACTCTCAAAGCTCTGCCTGCTCTTTCCCAGCCCTGCCACACAAACTCAGGGGATGTCTCTGCTACGGAGACTATATGGGCATGGCTACACCAACTATCAAGTAGATGCAGCCTGCACCAGCCAAAAGGGTTTTTCCAGCAGTGGAGCAGCAGTCATATTTGTGGGTTTTCTCACATCTCTGACTGAGTTAAGAGTGGCAACTTAACTTTTAAGCGTACACCAGGGCATAGATACAAAGATACACTCCCTTATGTCAAAAATAAGCAAGCAAAACTCCAAAAAAAAATCTCTTCAACATTCCCCATTCTAGTCCTATCCACGCATCTTGGGTCAGTTGTTTCCTAGATTAGGGAAGGGAAGGCAGCTATACAAAAAAATAACAATAATAACAATATACCACACATGGAAGAAATGAGAATTTGATAGCAATGAATATAAATCAGACATTAGCAATTGTAGAAAATTGAGGAGGGAATCAAAGAGTCACAAGGAGAAATCTATGACCAGTGGAGTTAAGGACAATAAGGATTTTTTAAAATGATAGTAAGAACAAAAAGAATCCTGATAATGGGATTAGTCCATTACTAGGTGGAAATGGCAGAATTATCAATAGTAATGCAGAAACGGTGGAAGTCTACAATAAATAATTCTGTTCTGTATTTGGGGGAAAAAACAGATGATATAGTCTCATCATATGGGGATGACAACACTCTTTCCATTACACTAGTATCTCTGGAGGATGTTAAACAGAAGCTACCAAAATTAGACATTTTTAAATCAGCAGGTCCAGATAATTTGAATCCAAGAGTTTTAAAAGAGCTGACTAAGGAGCTCTCTGGCTCATTAATGTTGATTTTCAAAATATTTTGGAGCACAGGGGAAGTTCCAGAAGATGGGAAGAAAGATAATGTCATTCCAATTTATAAAAGGGGTAAATGAGATCACCTGGGCAATTATAGGGTGTTGATAAATTGGAGAGGGTCCAGAGAAGAGCCATAAGAATGACAAAAGGATTAGAAAACCTGTTTTATAATGACAGAATCCAGGATCTCTATCTATGTAGCTTTACTGAGAGAAGGTGAAGGGGTCTATAAATACCTACCTAGGAACCAAATATTTAGTAATGGGCTTTTCAGTCTAGCAGAGTAAGGTCTGACATGATCTAAAGGTGGGAAGTCAAAGCAAGATAAATTCAGACTTCAAATAAGATATACAGAGGAATTAATGATTGGAACAATTTTCTAAGGGTCATGGTAGATCCTCCATCACTGATGATTTTTAAATTAAGATTGCATCTTTTTCTAAAAGATTTGCTCTAGGAATTGTTTGGGGAAACTCCCAGCCTGTGTTATAGAGGAGGTCAGATGAGATGATCACTATGGTCCCTTCTGGGCTTGGAATCTATGAATCTAGGAAGGGCCATTGTCTACCCTTTATCCATGTGTTCTCACACCTGCCACCCTGTTCCCATCCCTGCAGTAACACAGCCAATGTGACACATATTGTGAGCTCTACACATGGGAAAATCCCCAACTGTGCAGCATTGGGCACTGCATGGAGTGCCTGGGACATCTGCAAATTACACCTACTAGCAGGATGGTGCCCCTTCTACTTCCCCATCTACCCCACAGGGGGAGCGGGGGAGCTGCATATGCAGATTAGTCCAGGAAGCTGGCCTCTGTTCCCCTACTTTGCCTCCAGAGGGAGCCAGAGAGCTGCTATTCCCACAGGCCACCTCCACCATCTTTCCTCCAGGCCACGTCCCTGCTACTTGCAGGCCTTCAAGCAGAGGGAAACCTTCTAAACTTAGGGCAGCCTGTGGCTATTGGCTCCTTTAAGAACAATGGCAGGTGGTGGCCATCTTTCCTAGGGACACCCTGGCTGCCACGTGAAAGGGCTGTAGGCAAAAGGCAGCTGACTCAGGACAGCTTGTGGCTTCAATCTCATTGACCACATTGGGAGATGGTGGCCATTTTTGGTTAGGGTAGCATGTGACCTCATCCTAGTTGGACGGACAACTGAGAGGCGCCATCTTAAGTGAGGACAAATGGTGGCTTCAGATTTCCTTCCAGTTCAGATCCTCCTATCTATGCCCCTATGTTCCCTGACATCCCAGTGTAATTCCCTGTCTCCCCCCCCCCACACACACACATACGCATGTTACTCTGCTCCCCACACTGTCCCTTCCTATGTCTATGAGCACAAAGGATGCCCATCTTCCCTGGGGGAAGCCTGGCTTCAGTCCCATTAGAAACAATGGGGAACAGTGGTCATCTTTCCTAGGGTCAGTCTCACTTTACAAAGAGCCGTAGCCCAATGGCAGCCATTATAAATCAGGGCAGCCTGTGACTTCCATGTCATCAAGATCAATGGGGACATTACTCAGCTTTATAATGGGCAACCTGTAGAGTCACCCCATATAAAGAAAGTACAAGGCAGCAGCCATCTTAACTCAGGGCAGCCTCTGGCTTCACTCTTATTGGGAATAAGGGATGGCAGCCATTTTGGAAAGTGGCCAAATTGGCTCCTAATGACCCCTGCAACTGGGATGTCAGACTCAAGTCAGAGCATGTTCCCATCCCTGCCCAGGCCTAGTACTAATCTCTGCAGAGTGTGTTGAATTTCCCCACAGGATCCTCAAAGAGATAGGGGTCAGTGGGAGGCAATGGCACCCCTACAACCCCACAAAGCAGAACTTCTTTCGCATCGGACTGGAGCCGCCCCAAGTCAAGGAGACAGCCCCTGCGCACCGCTGCACGTTCTTGGCAACACTGCTCACATAGAAGCCGAGCCCTACTGGTGAGTATCAGAGGGCTAAAAGGACAGCGGCCCTAGAGGGGAAAGTCCTCATGTCTCCCCACCCCTCTGACCCAGCCAGTCCTAGAGGAGAAAGACTCTGAATCATATTCACATTTCCATGGGATCTTCTGGCCTGCTAGAGATGCCCCTTTTTCCTGCCTGGGGTAGATCTCTTGTCCCCTGGGAACTCCAGAATCCATCTACTGTGGGGCAGCCCCAGGTTCGGCCCCATCTTCACTTGCTCAACCCCTCTGAGCAGGATAATAACACCCGTGTTTCCTGTACCAGCCAAACTCCATACACACCCCTTTCCAGTGGAGGAGGCATGAGCTAAGACAGGGTGATGCCTAACAGGGGTGGGTGAGGATGGAGGAATGGATCCAAGGACAGAGGGGGCTAGGGGCAGGTGGCCCATAATGGCACTGAAGAGAAAAGAGGCAGTGAAAAAATAACACACAGCTGGCTCTGGGGAGGGGCATGGCCATTGTGTAACTGTGCAGCACAGGAAGTGAAGGAGAATCCAAAAGAGGCTAGGAATCTTTTATGCCAGAGGCGGAGGGGCTCTTATGGGAGGTAGAGCAGAATGTTGCACATTGGACAGTGGGGATCACAGATGCTGGGAAACACAGGACCTCCACCAGCACAGCATCCCCTACTGCTAAAATATAGCAGTGGGGGAGCACTGTCTGTGCGGGGACAGCCCTCTGATGATCCCCCCATGCTGCTCTTTGCAGCAAAGCGCCCGCTAGTGCACAGGGATTTGCACCGACTGCAAGGGGTGAGTATCCCATACTGAGCCCGTGCAGCACCTGGTTTCCCCTGCAGGTCTCCCCTCCCATCTGCAACTAGACCAAACCCTGCATAGTCTGAGCTCATCCCCACTGCTGTTAACCCCACTCGCTCTGTGTCCTGCAGGAGCAGACCCAAGAAGACATGTCCGGTTCAGGGGGCTGTGAATGAAGAACTGAGCACTTACAATCCCCTGACAGGCGGAACCCTCCCTGCAGACAAGAGCATCCAGTGCCTGTTAGTATCTGTTGATTCATTAACGAGGCTCCTGCTAATAAACTCCCTTGGAATCCATGGATTGACCCTCCTTCTGCAACTCTTCCATATACAGTGCATTAAAGATATTCAGTCTAGAGACAAAACCCTGGTGTGTGATGTTGATTAGCTGATCCTGAGCAGGGGAGAGAGAGTGAGTGTGTTTGTGTATGTGTGTGTTTGTGTGTGTGTGTTTTGGGGTTAAATGTTGAAATAATGAGCTACACAGATTACATTGGTGGGGAGGGTGAGGAGGTTAAATGATGCTCTGGGTTTTCACAAGGCAAATGACAAAGCTCAGAGATCACACTGTGCATTCAGAGCTAGAAATGAATCCCAAGAGTCCTGACTCCCAGCCTCTGCTGGTCTAACCAACTAGACCCCGATCCCCTCCCAGAGCTGAAATAGAACCCAGGCATCTTGGCTTCCAGCTCACACTTGTCTAATCCACCAAATCCCACTCTCGTCCCCAAGCTGAAGATAATTACTCTTTGGGGAGTTCTGTGCCAAAAAATTAAAAATTCTGTGCACATTATTTTAAAATTCTGCAAAATTCTGCATATTTTATTTGTCAAAGTAACACAATATAATCAGACGTGTTTCAATTATTTTGGTAATTTATCTCAAAATACCTGTCAGCAAGTATGTCTGTAACAATACAGACAACAAAAAGATTCAGGAAATGGTTTTTTGACAAATCATTTCCTTACTAAGCATATTAATGCAGAACTTTGAGTAATAATTCATTTAAACTACAACGCAGAAACAAATTTCCCGCCCACCCCCAGAAGCAGTTGAAAGGCTTGGGGGAGTCAGGGGTAACAGAAGAGCTAAGGGAGAGTGAAGTAATT